ATTGGAACTATATTGTAAGTAATCCACGCAAATTACATTTCCGTATAATTTGAGATAAAAAATAAAATGTATGTTTCTCCATACAAAAAAAAACATTTTTTTTCTCCGAAACTATCAACTTTTCCAGAAATTATACAAGAATAAAAGTTGTTAGGAATTTTATTATCTATCATATAAAAAAAATTTACTCGGTACTCCATAAGTTATTCCTATGTCCAAGAATTATCCATTTGAGCCCACTTTGCGACGGGGCGGTGTGGCCCGCTTCGTCGTGAGGAGAGAAGGGGGAGGACGTAGCTCCTCCTAGGTGCTAGGAGGGTTCCGGTGCGCAAAGTCGATCCCGGATCCCTCCAACTGGAGCACCCGAAAAGGCCACAATGGGGTTTTAGCCGGTAGATAATTCGGCATAACCCTAACATAACATAGGACACATCTCCGCCGCTGCCCCCGCGGCGGAGATGTGTCCTATGAGGATTTCCCCCGCACAAAAAAAACGTTAAGTTAGGTTTATAAAAAAAAGCATTTACTGCTCAAAATTACTTTCGAGGTGATGAAAATTCGACCAAACGTTATTTCTGAAAAATGCCACTTCGGCTTTCTGATAGGTAACCGCGTGACCTTATGGACCAATAACTCAAAAGGACAGCTATTTGCGATACACGATAACGTGATCGGGTATTTGGTACCAATTGGTACACTAGATGTCGCGACGAGTACCAAATAGTTATTTTTGCAACTAATCGTTTTATAATGATAAGCTGCAAAGGTCAATGAATTTATCAAAGCTACTCTAATTTTTTAGTGATAACAAACAAATCAACTAGATGGCGCTATTCTTTTGTTTAGTAGTTATTTTTGCAACTAATCGTTTTTTAATGATAAGCTGCAAAGGTCAATGAATTTATCAAAGCTACTCTAATTTTTTAGTGATAACAAACAAATCAACTAGATGGCGCTATTCTTTTGTTTAGTTTAGGATTAGCACCATCTACCCATATTCAAAAGCGATAATTTAAATTAGTCTGTAGCACACAATGCTTTCTATTGACACGCATATTTATCATAACTCAGAAAATACATTCCTTACCTGAGAAGCATTACACTGCAAGTGCCATTTTTGTAATTTCACAGGGGAGGCGGTTTTGTGTCAAAATGCAGCATGTACAACATTTAGAATAGCTTGAAATAAAACTAATTGAGTTTTAATAACATTTCTAGCTTCCCTAATTGGCATACAAACTGCTTTTCGACACAAAATCGCTTCCCCCGTAAAATTACAAAAATGGCGTTTACAGTGTAATCCTTCTCAGGTAACGACATTTAGCTCAAGTCAATATTTGAATAATATTACAAGGAAAAACTGACTATCTACTTAAATTTCATATTAAAGACGAATTAATTGATATTCACGACCATTTACGTTATATGAACTAACTTTCAGGCTATTCAGCGCCATCTAGTTTACGGAATTTTGACCTTATTCAGAGTTACGATCTGTAGTATGGAGATTAGCAGTTCTTTTCAGTTATAGGTCCATTTCTTTTGGTAGTAACGTCAATGTTACTTACAAACGTATTTCATAATTTATTTCTAATGCACCTGATGACAAGATGACTAAGATGTTTGGACAGAATTATGAATTGGAAATGAAACTATTTTTTTCGGATCTATTTTTTTTTTCAAACAAACAGCCAATTTTACAGTTGGTTGACCATCTCAGTCGGCCGTGACTATAAATAGTTTTATTTCCTACGTGTAACATTCGCGACAACCGAGAACTCGATAAAATTGTAAATTCTTTTTGGTTCGGGAATATTTTAAAATCGCGTGTCGCTTAGAAAATCAGACATAGTTGTATGCGCCTGACGTTTTTTAAATAGCGAACGAACATAGGGAAAATTTGCTTTTTTTTTTGTCAACACTGGCTTGTGAAACTCGGTATTACACGGTGTTCCCTTTATAGTTACAAGTCTGTTTTTTAAGGACCTTTCTGAATTTCCCAACATCGCTAAAAAGTGCTTTGATTTGTGTATTTAAAACTGATGTTTCTGATGCAAACTATACACTCTGAAATTACGTACTTTCCTAATTTGTTAGCACCATATATACCTAATATATATCTATTATTCATTTTTCTAAATGTTCATAAGGACAAATCACGACCGCTACCATTCTTAGATATTTATATAATATTTTTCAGGTATTGGCACCATCTGGCAAGATATTTGAAGTATCATTATCCTTAAAATATAAGGATTTTTTACATTCTATAAAACCCGGACATTATGTTTTAGTTGAGAGTATACCAGGTAGCAATAAAGCTGAGATAGTGACAGCATTAGACAACGATAGTATAAGACAGTATGTTTACGACAAGGTGTGGCCACCGGAGTTTAATCCAAATGTTACAAAGTTTCATGTCAGGAAAAAACAACGGCAGGCCGTAAAACAAAAGATACGTCGGTTCAAGGGCTTACATAGTGACAAAAAATACTTGGCAGCGTACAATCGTCAATGTCAACCGTCCTCGACTAGTTCCAGTGATAATGTCCCCGAGGGTGAGTGTGAAACTTGGCCTCCGCGTATGTTACATATAATCGAAAAACACAAAAGAAACTTTAAACCATGGTTCCCTCCTGGTCCAAAGCCAAAAAATCTGAATCCAAACAAAACGAGAATCAGTTACCTTAAAAAAGTGGCTGCTAAAGAGATTGAGAAAGATGATGAATACGGATTAATGATGAGGCGATTGGCAGAATGGAAGGAAAAGGGGGGAAAGAAGCCTACCAAGGGCAGTTGGCTTTGCGCTAGATTAAAACGCAAGTTAGAGAAAGAAGTCAAACAGACAAAGAAAAGAAAACATATAAAGCAAGATAAAAGTTCAAGTGAGAGTACTGAGACAGATTCCGATTCTACATACAGTAGTCAAACCACAAGTACAGAAAATAGTACAATCGAGGATGATAAGGCGAATAAAACCACTGACAGCAAGATAGAAAGTAATAAAGAAATTGAAACAAGTGAAGCTAACCCTACTACTAGTAACATAGAAAACGATGAAGCAATTAAAACTGATAGTAACACAAGTGAAACCAAAACCGCTGATAGTAAAAAAGAAAATGAAAAATCAAGTACAACAGCACCTATCAGTAGTGGAATTGCAGCCACTACTAGTAAAGTAGAAGACGATATAGCAATTATTACAGATATTTGTGCACGCGGAGTTGGAGCTACCGGTAGTAAATGTACGCCATGGGGAATACTCAGAAGTTCAAAATACAAAAACAAAAAAATAACTCAAGAAATGATCGATGCTTTCATACGAGACGAAGTAACAAAAGAACAAGAGAAACTAATAAAAAAAGAGAAATTAAGACGGGCCGTAGTAAAGACATTAGGCGAGGACTTTGAAGTTAGTAGCAGCGAAAGCGCGGATACTGGCCAAGGTAGCGGATCTAGTGGCGAAGGTGAAGATACAGATGAGGAAAAAGATAAGAAAACGAAAGACAAGAAAAAGAAAGAAAAGGAAAAGAAAGAAAAGGAAAAGAAAGAAAAGGAA